CTACACTACAACTGCGAATACTACTACTACCCCTGATACTACTACTATTGCTACTACTACTACTACTACTACTACTACTACTACTACTACTATTACTTCTACTACTACTACTACTACTACTACTACTACTACTACTGCTACTAGTATTACCACTACCACTACCACTCCCAACACTACTACTACTACTGCTGCGACTACTACTACTAGAACTACTACTACTACTACTACTGCTACTACTACTTCTACAAGTACTACTGCTACTACTACCACTCCTACTGCTACTACGACTATTACTACTACTTCGACTACTACTACTACTACTACTACTACTACTACTACGATTACTTCTATTTTTACTACTACTACTACTACTACTACTACTACTAATACTACTACTAGCTACTACTACTTCTACTACGATTACTACTACTACTACTACTACTACTACTACTACTACTACTACTTCTACTACTACTAATAATACTATTACTACTGCTGCTACTTCTTCTTCTTTTACTACTACTACTACTACTGCTACTACTACAACTACTATTGCGACTACGACTACTACTACTACTTCGACTGCTACTAGAACTACTACTACTACGACTACTACTACGACTACTACGACGACTACGACTGCTACTACTACTACTACTACTACTACTACTACTACTACTACTACTAGAACTACTACTACTAGAACTACTACTACTACTACTACTACTACTACTACTACTACTACTTTTACTACTACTACGACGACTACTACTACGACTACGACTACGACTACGACTACTACTACTACTACTACTATTACTACTACTACTACTACTACTACTACTACTACTACTACTACTACTACTAGTACTACTACCACTACCACTACCACTACCACTACCGCTACCACTACCACTACCACTACCACTACCACTACCACTACCACTACCACTACCACTACCACTACCACTACCACTACCACTACCACTACCACTACCACTACCACTACCACTACCACTACCACTACCACTACTAGAGAGTGTTCCTGAGGACCTACGGACTTCTGAAGTCTCCGGAGGGCCCCTAAGGGATCCCGGAGACACCTGCGGACTCCTGGAGGCTCCTGGGAAGTCCTGAGGACCCCTGCGGACTCCTCAGGACCCCATGAGGGATCCTGAGGGCAACTGCGGAACCCTGACGATTCCGAATGATGTGGTGGGCGCCTGCGCACCCCCGTGCGCCCACGCCTCACCCGGCCTGGGGGGGCCTGCTCAGGGCCCCCAGCACACTCAGACACTTCTCCACCCTCACACCTACCAACTTTGCTTCCCAAGAAGAACAAAATCTCAACAGTAACAACAACAAATGGGGGCCGGCATGGTGGTTGCAACATACAACAACAACAACAACAACAACAACAACAATCATTTTACCCGAACGCGTGGTGTTCTCCCCAGTGCCAGGGTTTTCATACGACACCAGGCAATACCCCCACTTCGTGGGGGGGCATTACAAGCTCTACCAAATATCCAAACGACTCTTCGCGACCACCCAAACCCAGCTTCCCGCCCTATGACGTTGGGACACTTCACTTCGTGGCGTGCGGACGACCGGGCTACATTCACCCACGGCGACGACGGTCATTATATTGGGGCCTCTTGAAGGCCTCCTGGGGCAACCTATGGCGCAACCAGTAGGGGGACGTTTTATTCTCGGCGGCCGAGGGCGCAACCTATGACGCAACCAATAGGGGGGCGTTTTATTCTCGGCGGCCGAGGGCGCAACATATGGCGCAACCGCAAGGGATTCTGGCCCCTGGCAGGCGCGCGAACCCCGTTGCAAGAGCGTGCGAAAGTAGCTCGCGCGAGCTCATGTAACATAAATGTTGGAAAACCATTGGTTTTTTTAGGATTCGGACAGCGCGCGCGGGTGGAAATTTTGAAAAGTCGTGCAGGTGTTTTTCGAGGACCTACGGTGCGATTCGTGTGATTTTATGATGCGCGGTGCTAAAATTCTTAAGAAGCCCAATGGTTTTTGGAGATTTCGGCGTGCGCGCGCGAAGAAAAAACGAATGTGTCCCGCATGGTATTATTTGACAGGGATGATGGCCCTGGCAGGTGCGCAACCGTTGTCGCAGAAGTTCGAAAAAGTTGCTCGCAAAAGCCCGTTTGACAGAAATGTTTAAAAAGTGTTGGGTTTCCTACGAATCCGCAAGAGCGCGCGGGATGAGATTTTGACATTTTTTTGTTGAAAAACCATTGGTTTTTTGATGTTTTTATGTTAAAATCGCTCCGAACACTAAGCTTTTGGAAGGATTTCGTCTTGCGCGCGCGAATGTCCACTTTACCTTATTTTTTGCAAGGGATTCTTGAAATTTGATTATATTAGAACAAGAAATGTAATTTTATAGTGTTTTTTGCAAGGGAAAACGGATTACAACAAAACAACCGGATCTTGATGACATCGTATTACCTGAGGCTTCCTCACGAAAATGATGAAAATGTAGCTGCGGCCTAGGCGGCGCAGGGGGGCCGTGCACCAGGGGTCCCAACAATAATTATTCTTTAGAATTAATAATGTTCAACAATAAAAACAACAACAACCGCAGCAACAACAACAACAGCAACAGCAGCAACAGCAACAGCAACAACAACACAAACACCAACACCAACACCAACACCACCACCAACAACAACAAGCATCATGCCGTGCTTTTCGCGACCCGAGGGTGTCTGGGGAGGGGAAGATGCAACGACAGTGGTCAACATCCTGGGCCCGCGATGAACGTGCACGCGGCCCATCACAGGAGGGTTGGGCGTCGCTCAAGGGGGGGGGGGGGGGGGGCGATACAAGGGGGAGAAGAAAGGTGCACTGTTCTGTCCCTGAAGGCCCCCACTTGGGCCCTTAAGGGCCCTCGCTGCATTCCAATGTATCGCCCCCCCCATTACGCGCCCCCCACCTGGTCCATCAGAAAGTGGCCTGGGACAAAACATTATGTATATTGTCCTCCTGATTGGCTGGCCCAAACGCCCACGCCAACAAAGCCAACACATCACGAGATTGGCGAGGAGGAGGAGGAGGAGGGTTCAAACGTGGCCCGAAAGGCAGTGTGGATACACGACAGTAGCACCACACAGAAAAAAAAACGCATCGACAGGCGTCTGGGCACCGCCTAAAATCTACCCGGGGTCGCATTCTGACCGAGATCTCGGCTGCGAGTCCAGCTGTGGCGACGAGGAGGGGCCCTCAGGAGGCCACCAAGTGCGAAAACTATCGGAGGTGAGGGGGTGAGATCGAAGTGGAACGGAGAGCCCTTCTACCGGGAAATCGATTTCGGTTTCGTGTTCGTGCGTGCCGTGCGTGCGGGCGAGGCGAAGCTGCGTGGGCGGGCGAGAAGAAAGTCTCCTGTAGCTAAGGCGCGGCCGGACCAAATGACTCTCTTCCGGCGTCCGGTGGGGCGCGTTGCCCGGCCGGTGTCCCGCTGTGGCTGAGGCGCGGCCGGACCAAATGACTCCCTTCCGGCGTCCGGTGGGGCGCGGTGTCCCGCCGGTGTCCCGTCGGTGTCCCGATGATAATGATGATGTCGATGATGTTGATGATGATGATGATGATGATGGTGATGATGGTGATGGTGGTGATGATGGTGTCTCGATGATGATGATGTTGATGTCGACGACGTTGTTGTTGTTGATGATGATGATGATGGTGGTGATGGTGATGGTGGTGATGATGATGGTGTCCCGATGATGATGATGATGATGATGATGATGATGATGATGATGATGATGTTGGTGATGATGATGTTGCTGATGATGATAGTGTCCCAATGATGATGGTGATGATGGTGATGATCCTGGTAATGGTGATGACGATGAGATGATGATGAAGATGATGAAGATGATGGTGGTGATGATGGTGTCCCGATGATGATGGTGATGAGGTTGATGATGATGTTGTTGATGATGATGGTGATGATGATGGTGTCCCGATGATGATGATGATGATGATGATGATGATGATGATGATGATAATGATGATGATGGTGTCCAGATGGTGATGATGTTGATGATGATGGTGATGATGAGGAGATGATGATGATTTTGATGATGGTGGCCCGATGATGGTGATGACGATGATGCTGATGTTGATGATGATGGTGCCCCGATGATGATGATGATGATGATGGTGACGATGATGATGGTGTCCCGATGATGATGATTTTGATGGTGATGTTGTAGCTGATGATGATGGTGTCCCGATAATGATGATGTTGATGATGTTGCTCATGATGATGATGAGATGGTGGTGGTGGTGTATCGATGATGAAGATGGTGTCCCGATGATGATGGTGTTGATGATGATGGTGACGATGATGGTGTCCCGATGATGAGAATGATGATGATGCGCCCCGATGATGATGGTGATGAGGTGATGATAATGATGCCCCGGTGATGATGAGAATGATGATGATGACGTTGATGACGATGATGACGTTGATTGTGAGATCGATTGTGGTATCGACAGTGAGATAGACAGTGAGACCGAATGTGAGATCGATTGTGGGATCGATAGTGGGAGCGATAGTGAGATCGATTGTGAGATCGATAGTCAGATCGATTGTGAGATCGATCGAATGAAATAGATCGGGTGAGATCGACTGTGAGATCGATCGAGTGAGATCGATCGAGCGAGACCGATAGTGAGATCGATAGTGATATCGATAGTGAGACCGATCGAGTGAGACGTTGGTTCCTCCCCCCCCCGAACCTCCTTATCACCCGAAGGGTGGTCGTAAAGGTAAAAAGATTATGGGTACCAGTACGGCGGGTGAACGTCGCGAAGACGTCGGCGCTAGTTTTCTGATACAGCGTGGATCGTTCAACACGATCCCCGCTTTCCGACAACGCGAGAATTTCGATGTGCGTCGAAACTGGGCCACCGGTCGCTGACGCGTCAACGCGGCGCGAGCTTGCAGCATGTGCTGCCCCAAGGCGGAAGACCTGCGCCGAGGCACCCACAGCGATGCTGGAGCCGAGCTCGTCGACGACCCACGACTCGCCCACCAGGAGCCGGACCCCGGAGTCTGCCTCGATGCGCAGGTTGTGGATGCCTTCCGAGGGCGGGCGGCCCTGGCCCCGGCCCCAGCCCCGCCGGGCAGGCAGTCCTCCAGCCCCACGTCGGGCCCCTGGGGCCTCGCCTGCCGATCTGGCTGCAGGACTGCGGCAGGAAGAGGGTGGTGATGGCTCTGGTCGTGACTCCTGATGCTGCTGCACATGTTCGAGCCAGGGCATCTCAGGGCTCTGGCTCCGAAGCCCCGCGCGGTGACCTTCGGCCGTCGTCTCCCTGTGGCACACCGCCCTACCCCTGCAAAACGAAAACCCCAAACCCTGGATATCGATCCTCGGCCTGGACGCTCGAACATACCTCGCGGGCCAGGCCCCTGGGCCGCGGCCGTGGGCACGGGCCGTTTTCCCGAGTGGAAATAAACACGTTCCCAGACCGACGATGTGGTTTTTGGCTTCACTCCGCGGCCCCAGAGATCCCGACCCCTTCCACGGGGACAGTGTTCGCCCTGGATTCGTTTTTCATGGCCCCAGGCCTGCCAGTGGGCCCTGGAAGACGAAATCGATGGGCTCGGAGATCTGGGTCCATCCGCGATCCTCCTCGATGCTCGATCCTCCTCGATCCTGTTCGAAGACCTTCTCTCCACAGCGATTTACCGAGCCGCCCTGGCGCCTGAAGCTTTCGGCAGCAGGTAGCCGTACCATTTGGCGGAGAAGTAGTCGCCTGCCGAGGGGGGAGGGGCACCCGAGGGAGGAGGAGGATGATGAGGAGGAAGAGGGAGGGGAAAAGGAGGGCCAGGGTAAATCCAAGACGCATCAACAGTGTTGCTATGAACCCTCCCTCCAACTTCCCTCTTCGTAGGCCCCTGCAAAAATTTGTCTTCATCGCGGGATGCGCCTCATTGGAATACAACCGTCTGAGAACCCTCAAAATCGCGTGAATATACCACGTGACTGTTGCGTCCTGGCAATCCGAAATCGTGCGAGAACACAAGTCCTGGGACTCCAACACACCAGATCAACGTGACGGCTACGTCCTGACAGCCCTGAATCGTACCAGGACACCGTTCCTGGGACGCCACCCATACAAACCATGGAAACTGCTGCAGACTTGTAAAAGTAATGTGCGAGACGCTAAGGCGGTAGCGACATTTTGAAAAGGAGCACCCCTTTCTATTCGAAGTTACTGCAAACGCTTTTAAGACACATGCGCGCAACGCTGAAGCGACAGTCCTATGTTGAAAGCAGGCCGCCCTCCGTCCTTCACATTGCTGAGAACGGTGAATACGAACGTCAGAGCCACATTCTGATAGCGGGCCGCCCTCCGTCCTTGAAACTACGACAAACGCTCAAAAGGAATCTGCGCGTCGCTGGGGCGAGAGTCCCGCTTTGAAAGCGGGCCGCCCCCCGTCTTTGTCAGGATCATCATGGTGAGGAAATCTCGAGCGAAACTTCAGGCCTGCCCTAACGACACGTCTGGGAGTGCGACGGGGGCGGGATATTATCTTGCAGAATATGTGTGTTCGTTGTCGTTCGTCCTTCCCCCTGGGCCTGGCACTTTCTCTTCGAGGGTAGAAGAGCCCACCCCGCCTACCCCCCCCCCCGGCACCTCCCACCCACCCCTGCTCCGTCGCGGCCGCCGTCCTTCCCTCCCCCCGCCCCCCCGGGCCTCCCTGGCCTCGTCCGTTCTGGGCCGCTGGGCCGCGGAGCCCGCCCTCTGCTGGCCCGCTTCCCTTCGGGGCCGCGGAGCCCTTCCCTTGCTCTGCCCCTCCCCCCTCCCCCCCCTTTGGGCCACGGAACCCGTTCTGTTCGTTGTCGTTCGTCCTCCCCACTGGGCCCCGCCCCCGCCCCTGGGCCGCAGAACCCTTTATTTTCGCTGTCGCTCCCCATCCCCCTTCCCACTGGGCCTCCCTGGCCTCGTCCGTTCTGGGCCGCCGGGCCGCGGAGCCCGCCCTCTGCTGGGCCGCTTGCCTTCTGGGCCGCGGAGGCCATCCTTGGCTCTGCCCCCCTCTGGGTTGCGGAACTTTTTGTTGTCTTTGTCGTTCGTCCTCCCCCCTGGGTCTCCGTGGGCCTCCCTGACCTGATCCGTTCTGGGCTGCTGGGCCGCGGAGTCAGCCCTTGGCTGTGCCGCCTCCCTTCTGGGCCGTGGAGCCTATCCCTGGCACCGCCCCCTCCGCCACCTCTGGGCAGCAGAACCCTTTTAGCTTCGTTGTCGGTCGTCCGCACCCATGGGCCCCGCCCCCGCCCCTGAGTCGTCGCCGAACCCTGTGTGTTCGTTGACGTTCGTCCTCCCCCCTGGGCCTCCCTGGCCTCATCCCTTCTGGACCGATGGGCCGCGGAGCCCGCCCTTGGTTGGGCCGCCTCCCTTCTGGGCCTCGCAGTGCCCCCCCCTGGGCCCCGCCACCTCTGGGCCCAGTCCCCTGCGGAACTTCTTTATTGTGGCTGTCGTTCGTCCTCCCCCGTTGGGCATCCCGGGCATCCTCCCTTCTCGTCCGCGGAACCCACCCCTGGCCCCCCTGGGTTCCGCCCCCACCCCTGCACCGCAGAACATTCTTAGTTTCGCTGCCGTTCGTCCTACCCCGTGGGCATCTCTGGCCTCGTCCGTTCTGGGCCGCTGGGCCACGGAGCCCGCCCTTGGCTCGGCCGTTCCCCTCCTGGGCCGCGGAGCCCGCCCCTGGCTCAGCGCCCCCACCCCCTCGACCGCGGACTACTTTGATGTTCGTTGTCGTTTGTCTTTCCCCCCGGGCCTCCCTGCCTTCTGGGCCGCGGAACTCACCCCTCTTGGACCCCGCCCCCGCCCTAGGCAGCGGAACCTGTTAGTGTGGTTGTCGTTCGTCCTCCCCCTAGGGTCTCCTCCCTTCTGGCCCGCGAAGCCCACCCTGGGTCGTTCCTCCCCCTGGCCTCCGGCCTCTCTGTGCCGCCTCCCCTTGAAGGCCGCGGAGCCTACCCCTGCCCCACGTGGGCCCCGCCCTCCATGGGCCGCAGACCTTGTTATGTTCGTTGTCGTTCCTCCTCCCTACTGGGCCTCTCTAGCCTCATGCCTCCTGGGCCGGGCCGCGGAGCCCGCCCTCCTGGGCTCCGCCCCCGCCCCTGGACCGCTGAACCTGGGCCGCGGAGGCCGCCCCCAGCTGGGCCGCTTCCGTCCTGGGCCGCGGAACCGCCACTGGGCCGCGGAACCTCTTTATGTTTGTGCTCGCTCGTGGTCCCCATCTTGGCATCCCTGGTCTCGTCTGGGCCGCGGAATCCACCCCTGGCGCCCCTGGGCCCCACCCCAGCTCCTGCACCGCGGAACCATATATTTTCAATGTCCTTCGTCGTCCCCCGGTGGCCCCACTGGCGTCGTCAATTCTGGACCGCCGCTGGGCCACGGGGCCCGCCCCTGACTGGAAAGCCTCCCATCTGAGCCGCTGAGCCGCTACTGGGCATCGGAAACCTTTACTTTCGCGTTCGTTTACCCCCATCTGGGGCTCCCTGGCCTCATCCCTTCTGGGCCGCGGAGCCCGCCCCTGGCCCCCTCCTGGGCCCCTACGCCCAAGAGCTGCGGACCTCCGCATTTGCTTGCACAGCTGTTTTCTAAACCCTGGAGCCCTTTGCTTTCGCCGTCGTTCGTTCATTCGTTCGTTGCCCCCTGCCAGGCCACTACCTCTGTCTCCTCATAATGGTTATGATGGACCCCAGAGAACACCAGGAACCCCCGGAACCCCCCCCGAATCCCCCCCTCCCTCTTCACTTTGTTTTTCCTGGCCCTCGTCCTCACTCATGCAATGAGCCAATGCATGCGTGCCGCTTGCGTATTACAAGGACAAGGGATGGAGGAGGGAGGAGAGGGAGGAGGAGGAGGAGGAGGAGGAGGAGGAGGAGGAGGAGGAGGAGGAGGAGGAGGAGGACGACGACGACGACGACGACGACGAGGGGGACGATCGAAGAGGAAGGGGAGAAAAATGGAACCAGGAGAAGGAAACGCGGGGGTCGCAGAGGATGAGCCAGGGGAGAAGGGGAAGGAGATGAGGAGGAAGGAGGAGGGAGGAGCCCACGTACTCACGAAGGAGGAGGGAGGAGGAGGAGGAGGAAGAAAAGGAGGAGGCAGGACTTCAACGCCACGCGTCAACCTGACTGTTGCGTCTTGACGATCCTGAATCGCACCTGAACGCCGTTCCTGAGACTTCAGCACCGCGAATCAACGTAACAACTGCGCCCTGACAGTCCTGAACCGTTCGAAAACATGAGATCATTCTCGGACGAGTGGTCCAGGAGGGCTCGGTCGCCTATGCCGTGGCCATTGCCTTTCCGCTCGATGACCCTCCGGGCGCGGCGCGCGGGCCCGCGGTCGTCGAAGCGTCGCCCTCGTGCTTTGGCGCGCTCGCAGGCGCGCGCCGCGCTGCCCCATGGGAACTTCGCGCAGATCGGGGCCGTCGGCGGCTATTCCTCCTTCGCCGAATGAGCTGACGGCGTCGGCATCGGCGCCGGAATCGACGCCCGCTGCTGGGAATGCCTCCTGCGCTGGCGGCGACGGCGCAAGCGGGCTCGGCGCCGCCCCCCGGCGCTCATGGACCCGGGCCGCCCGAGCTCGATCTGGCCGCGGCGTCTTAGACACTCTGAGACTGTTCTTGCGCGGGCGCACCCGCGTGAAAAAATTGCCATTTGGCCGAGTAAACAACTGAGGCGACATTGCCGGGCGACCCCTCGCTCATGCGCTCGCGGCGTCGCAGCTGGCCCGTCGCGCGTGCGAGCCGCGCTGCGCTGACCGGGCAGGCCGCGTCGCAGCGTCGCAAGATCATGGCAAGCTGCGCGTTGGACACCCCGACAGCGCGCAGGAGGCGGAAGCTGGCTGAGGCCCCCTTTGCCGATCATGGACAGACCGGCTTTTCATGCGCGTTTTCTGTGGATGTCGCAGCGCGCGAGGAGGTTGTCGATGCGCTCCTGCGGCAGTCTGTTGAAGTTCACGAGTGCCGAGACTGCCGAGGCGCGCCCCTCCTCGCCCAGTTGGCCCCATCGCTCGGCAAAGCTGCGCATCGGGAAGGTCCTCGGTGGCACTGGGCTGCCATTGATGCGCCCCCCCTGGATCAGGACAGAGGGCGGCCACTCGTCCACGCACTTGTGGACCATGCCAGCCAGGCGAGACGAAACGTCGGCCGCCTGGCGGAACGCGTCGAGGTCCAAGTTCGCCACTGACCAGATCATCACCTCCCGCGCGAATCGTTGGAAGGGAGCCCGAGCTCGCGGCTCGGGCCCGCAGTTGCGGAGGTGTCGCACGTTGCCGCCGCCGCCTCCTGCGCCCATGCCGGTTAGGCAGCTGGCCACGGCAAGCATGCCCACTCCGATGGCCTCCCATCCGATGTGGAGGTCCCTCCATAGGTCCAGCAAGCACCGGAGGCCCGGGGCCCACCGACGGCGTTGCTCTGACCATGAGCCTTGTCGCCGTCGTGGGTCCCTGCCCCGAACGCGTTCCTCTTCATCGGCGTGTTGGGCGTAGTTTTCTGTCGCGTCGTTGTGGCGGCCACCGCATTCGGGACATCCCACACCATAGTTGCGGGCATGCCCCTCGCGCGTCGCGTCGGCATGATGCTCGCCGCACTCGCGGCATCCCACAACATAGTTGCGGGAATGCCCTTTGTGCGTCGCGTTGTCACTGTGCTGGGTACCGCCACCTGTACGATCGTCAATGGGAGCGCGCATCGGGATCTCGTCCTGCCAGACTGGAAAGAACAGGCGGACGTGGCGACATGTCGCGTTCCAAAAGGTTGAAGACAGGTATGCCGTGCTTTCCCTTGGAAGGCTGGCAACGTAGCCGACAAACACCCCACTGACTTCCCAATCTGATCAAAACTTTTACCCACCTGGACTATCCGGGTCTATCGCAAGAAAACTGCGAGCAGCCCAGGGGCACTTGCTGAGGCTACTGGTGTGGACGATGTGCCGATTGGCGGTCCATTATATGTAGTTTGCCCCCAGTTGGTTGGTATCTACATCGAAGAGAAACGTGGCATGTGGGCCCGCGAGCGACTCAAACATAGTTCCAGTACGCCCCCGAGGGGAAGCAGGCAACGGCGGGGTGGCGCACCGATCTTGGGTATTCTTGATGTCGTCCTTGTTCTGGCTGTGCTCTGGCGGATGCTGTTCGCCCTTCACGAGGTGCAGGGCGATCAGCTTGAAGGCGATCCCGCAAGCAGCGCAGGAAGGCGGTGACCTTGAAGTGGATGTTTTCGAGGACGTTGTACAAGGTATAACGCGACGAAGTGCGAAAGCCGTAGCGGTCGACGCCTGGCGGGAGGAGAATGCCGCGCGGGCCATGGCGGCAATACGCAGCGGAACGGAGCTGTGCTCCGATACCAACTAAGGACGGCGATTTGGCAGAAAGAACGGATGGTACCTTCTGGGAAAGAGGCGGATGAAGGTGAGCAGCAACGCGCGTACAACAACGGGCGGGCACTCAAGGTGATCACTTTCCGTGCCCCCGAGCGAAAACGGCAGCGGAAACCGCAGGTAACACTAGGATCCCGGAAGGGTCTCCGGGGAATCAGAAAACAGGCTGGGAAAAGGTGGGACAGGCAAAGCCATAGATCGTTCAAGTGGAGGAGGAATGAGGGAGGAGGAAAAATGAGGAGGAGGAGGAGGAGGCGTGAGGGAGGAGGATTGACGTGTGAGGGAGCGGTGGGAAGTGCAGGCTCGTTTTCCCCCTCCCCGCGCGATTTGCGGGCAAAGGTGCGTCATCCCGAGGGTGCGCCGCGAGCGTTGGCCCGAAGGAGGGCGGGCCGCGCTCCGGCCGCGCGAGGCAGCGGCGGCATTGTCACGCAAACAGCAGGGGACGGGGCAGGGACAGGAGTGGAGGGAGCGAGGAGAGGAAGACCCCTGCGAACTTCGAGCTTCGAACTTAGAGGATCGAGGCTTCTGGGGCCTCGGGGCCCTCCTCCTCCTCCTCCTCATCATCATCATCACCACCACCACCAGCATCATCATCGTCATCATCAGCATCATCATCACCAGCAGCAGCATCATCAGCATCATCATCAACCTCATCATCAGCATCATCGCCATCATCATCATCTTCCTCCTCCTCCTCCTCATCATCATCATCATCATCATCATCATCATCAGCAGCAGCAGCAGCAGCTGCTGCAGCAGCAGCAGCAGCATTCTTCTCTTCCTCCTCCTCCTCCTCCTCCTCCTCCTCCTTCTCAACCTCCTCCTTCTCCTCCTCCCTCCTCCTCCCAGGCGACGGCCCCACGAGAGGATGGCATTGGCGGAACAGGGAAAGTACAGACCCAGACCCCCTCGAACTGCGAACTTCGACGATCGAGGGTTTTGGGGGGCTTCTCGTCGCCTCCAAGCTCTGGTCAGAACTCACCCCAGGAAAGGTCGGGGCGTCGACTCGCAACCCCTGGGCCCAGACCCACTCGCGGCGTCCAAAGATCACGACGGGGTATTCTCTGCCTCTGGGGGCCCTCGCCGGGCCTTGGGACCGTCGCAAAAACGAACCGGGATGAAAAGCTGGTCCTGGGCCATGTGTCGAAGAGTCCACTTGAGAGGAAATATAGCCCTGGATCTCAATAGCAGCGTTTTCCTTCGATTTTGGCCTCTGGGGCCCGCTATGGGGCCCTGGGGCCATCAGAGATGCGGGACGGAAAACTGCCTCCAGGGAGGGAGTCGGGGCCGCTGAGGCCGCGCACCGAAAAAGTCACATCGTAGGGCGTCTGGGTCCCCATCGCCAGCCCCCGAAGCGCGTGGGAGCGCGCAAGAGCGAGCGGGATGGGCAAAGTGAGCGACGAAAAGAAAAGGGTCTTACGCGAGACGACGTAACGACCTGACGCCGCAGCTTACGTGGGCCGCCAGCGCGGCACATTACGTTGGAGACGAGGCGCTCACGCGCGACCTTACGAGGGCAGCTTACGCGCCAATGTCGGCGCAGACGACCCCGTTTTTTTGTCGCTCGGGTGGAGGTGCGTGCGTGGGGTGGGGCTGCGGGCCCTGACCTTCCAGGAGGGCAAGAGAACAGCACTGGGGCCTTCTTGCGTTAGATTGCAGTCGAGGCCTGAGAGCAGTGCTGACAGATCTATGTCTGGGGGGCTACTTTGCAGCACACTGAAAGGTCAGGGGAGATGGTGCGAGAGAGTGGGGTGTCGCCTTGGCCCACCTCACCCAGCATGCCGCGGAGCGGGCGCGAGAGCGGATAGAGGGGGCCCGGGCGAGGTGGCCCGAGCGCAAGGGATGGAGGATCGAGAATCGAGGCTCGAACTTCGAGGATCAAACTTCGAGGATCGAGGATCGAGGATCCAGGACCTGCAGGCCCCTCGGGGGCTCTGCGAGGCTTCTCGTCGCCACGGCTGGACTCGCCGGGCCTGCGGAGCGGCGCGCGCCCAGGGAGGGCGGTCAGCTGAGGGGACAAGAAGACACGACCTCCTCCTCCTCATCATCATCATCATCCTCCTCCTCCTCCTGCTCCTCCTCGTCCTCGTCCTCGTCCTCCATTCCTTTTAAGCCTGAAAGATAACTCCTCCTTGTCGCGGCCCGAAACTGGTCGAAAGGGCGGGCCGCGCGTTTCGCCGGATACTTCCTCACAAGTTGTGATAGTTCGCAAAAGATTCGCGGATGGAGGGCTGTCCGTTTTCAAAGTGCGGCTCTCGCCTGGGCGCGGCGCAACTTCGTCTTGAAATTGTGCAAGAGGTTCACGGATGGAGGGCGGCGCGTTTAATCCCACCAGCCCTTCAGGTCGTAGGTGGTTTAGGGAGTTTCCTCTTGCAACCCTCTCCTTCCCCTTCGGGGAGGGGTTCATCACTGTTCCTTATTAGTATACACCCCTTCCCCCAGGCGACCGGCGTCCAACCAGGAACCATGCCGACACCATGCCGACCCGCCCCCCACCATACCTGTCAAAAAACAATACAAGCCGCACTCTGCCTACACATTTGGAGCATGCGCGGCCAAACCGATGCGGCCCCCCCCACCATCCCTGTCAAAAACCATGCACAGTACACTTTGGGGCCGCGACGCGCTGCATCAGCGGGCCGCGGGCCGAGGGGGGGGCGGCGCTCAGGGGCTGAAACATTGCAGAAGCCGCAGGGGGCGAGTCACAGAGAATAGGAGAATCATCAATTTGGGTTATTGTGCTGGTTTAGGACCCATTTGGTTCCTCCGGAGGCCTCTGGAGTTTTCTGGAGACCTACAGGGAGTGCTGGAGATCTCGAGAGAACACCCCCACAGGTGCGAGGATGAGGGAGAAAGAGGAGGAGGAGGAGGAGGAGGAGGAGAAGGAGGACCAGTGTAAACCCAAGAGTCGTCGACGATGTTGGAATTAACCATCCCTCCAAGCTCCCTGTTCATTTCCATTGAAGGAACTGCCTTGTTGGAAGACAACCGTCTGAAGATCCTGAAGCATACCGAAACATTGTTCTCGGGATTTCAACGCCACGTATCAACCTGACTGCTGCGCTTTGGCGATCCGGAGTCGTGCCATAACGTCATTTGGGGGATTTAAAACTGTTGCACCCGCATAATCCAGAATCCTTCCCAAACACCATTGTTGGTACGCTGATCATGATAATCCGTGAAACTCCAACCTGATACAACGAACGTGCGCGGCGCTAAAGCGAAAACCACATGTTGAAAAAGAACCGCACTCAACCCGTGAAAACCTTGCATTGTACAACGAATGTGCGCGGCGCTCAGGCGAGAACCACATGTTGAAAACCACCCGCCCTCAATCCGTGAAACTCTTGCAATATTTGAAAACGAATGCGCGCGGCGCTGAGGCGAGAGCCACATGTTGAAACCAACCGCCCTCCATCTGTGAAACGGTTGTCACTTTGTAAGTTCAGGGTCATATACCATGATGGATTCTTAGGCGAAGCGCACAACCCGCCCCAAAAACTGGCCTCGGGGCGCGACAGGGAGGAGTTACCTTCAAGGAGGAGGAGGAGGAGGAGGCGGAGGAGGAGGAGGAGGAGCAGGAGAGGGAGGAAGAGGAGAGGAAGGAGAGACCGTACCCAGAGGAGCTCTGGATGGGTCTGGGCCCGCAGCGAGTGGCTGGCAGTGGTGAGGTACTGACAAGGCGAAGGGAGGTGTTTTGTTGACGAGCGCCCTGCGAAGGGAGGAGGAGGCGAAGGGAGGAGTAGAGGAAACAAAGGAAGGAGCAGCAGGCGAGGGAAGGAGGAGGAGGAGGAGGAGGAGGAGGCGAAGGGAGGAGGAGGAGGAGGAGGAGGAGGAGCAGCAGCACGAAGGCGAGATTCAAAAGCCGCGGCGGGCAGGAGCCAACCGCCCGACACGTGCTGGGTTGGGGAGCCCTGGCCAGCTGCAGGGCTCCCCGCTCACCGTGGCATCGCGAGCCTAGGCGACGGCCCCACGGCAGGTGGCTTTGGCGGAGCAGGGAAAGTACAGGCCCAGACCCCTTCGAGCTTCGAACTTCGACGATCGAGGCTTTGGGGGCCTCTGGGGGGCGTCTCGCCGCCACGGCTGGATTCGCCTCCAGAGCCTGGTCAGAACGCACCGCAGGAGAGGTCTGCGGGGCGACCTGCAACCCCGCCAGACCCACTCGCACCGTGAAAAAAATACAAAGGGCGGTTGTTTGCCATTCTCGGTTTCTACGTGCCCTCGCCGGGCTCTGGGGCCGTCACAGGATGAAAAGCCAGCCGGGGGGAATGGGTCGAGACCTCGGGGGGTCCACGTTGTGGAAAATCATGACGTCGGGGGTCTGGGGAGGAGGACGGTGATGATGCTGCTGATTATGGTGGCGATGCCGCTAGTGATTGTGATGATGATGCTGCTGCTGATGATGATGGTGGTGATGATGATGATGATGATGATGATGATGATGATGATGATGATGATGATGATGATGATGATGATGATGATGATGATGATGATGATGATGATGGTGATGGTGATGATGATGATGATGATGATGATGATGATGATGATGATGCTGATGATGATGATGATGATGATGATGATGATGATGATGATGATGATGATGATGGTGGTGGTGGTGGGTGATGATGATGATGATGATGATGATGATGATGATGATGATGATGATGATGATGATGATGATGATGATGATGATGATGATGATGATGATGATGATGATGATGTGGTGGTGGTGATGATGACCATGATGATGGCTGAAGGCGATGATGGTGGTAATGGTGGTGATGACGATGACGGTGATGGTGAACATGCTGGTGGTGATGGTGATGATAATGGAGATGGTGATGATGATGATGGTGATGATGCTGCTGATGATGATGCTGCTGATGTTGATGATGGTCACGATGATGCTGATGATGCTGCTGATGATGATGATGGTCATGATGGTCATGATGGTCATGATGATGGTGCAGGTGACGTGTTTAGGATACGCCGAGACGTGCCAGCTCAACGAGAGGAGGATCGGAGCACGAGAAAGCGTGAGACGCACGCGGCTGGACTCGGGGGTGGAACACATGCGGAAGCCACGAGCTGGATTGACCAGCCTCGAGCTTATCCCTATCAACCCCTTCGATTGACAGGCCTGAGGGCGATGCCAGTCGTAAGGATGCGTCCTCAGAAACCGAGGGAATCCTCGATATCGTTACCGACACCAGGTGATGCCAAGCATAGGGGCGTGGACATGCTCCAGGCGTGTGGATGGATGGCACGTGCCGGCGGGCGGCGCCCATGGCCACCACGAGGGCCGAGCGCTGGAGAAACGCGCGGCAGCAGCTGTGCCCCCAGCTCTCCTGAGACCTGGGCGCTGCCCACGACTTCTCCACCCCAGGCGCTGTCGCCTGGTCTCGGGCCTCGGAACCGTCACAGATCGATACGGCTCGAAAGGTGCTGCAGAACCCTGAGGATAAGATACCGGACTTTTCTGGTCGCGACCGAAGAGATCGGTCGCTACCATGTTGGCTCCTATTCCGTTATCGGTCGCGACCGACGTGGAATGCCCGCTGCCGATCGTGACCGAATAAATCTGGTATCCAATGATGTGGGAAAGATGGGGTCTGGGTCTCCGGTCGTGCTTTTCCCAGAAAGGGTATAAACCCAGGGTTCTCTTTTAGTTGGTTCACCTCCAGGTTTGACTTGAGGTGGGCCAGCGAATTTCTTTTGACATAAATATCGAGGTCGAGGTGGGCCAGCGAATTGAAATTTGAGGATGTCCCTAGCGAAACGCTGGTTTTTGAAATCGCGATCGATAAATCACAGGGTGCGGGACACGTTTTGGTCAGGTGCACGGATTACGTAATGCCTATAGATTGGCCCCATCCAGGGGTACGTATCTGTGTGTTGTTACGTCTGTTCCTGACGCATGTGGAGGATGTCTCGAGCGAGACGTTTGCTTTCACGTGTCCAGGTCGCCCAGGCGGATGTCTAGCATGAGGAGTTGTTGAGCACGTTTCAAACGAAACGCTTGTCTTCACATGCCCTGGTCACCCAGGCAGACGTCTAACATGAAGATGTGTTGAGGAAGTCTCGAGCGAAACACTTGTTTTCCTGTGTCCAGTTTGCCCAGGCGGATGCCTAGCATGAGGATGTGTTCAAGATGTGTTGAGCGAAAGGCTTGTTTTCACGTGTCCAGGTCGTCCAGGCGGATGTCTAGCATGAGAATTCGGGCAGGATGTCTCGAGTGGAACGCTTGTCCCCAGCAAGTTCCGTAGCGCGTCCCCTTGGCACGTCTCGCGGTGAGTCCCCATGGCACGTCCCTTGGCACGTCGCCTGGCGCGTCCCTTGGGACGTTCCGCGGAACGTCCTCTTGGCATGGTCCCTTGTCAATGTAGTTATTGTGCAGCTACTATGTGCTCAGGCAGCTCGAGCTTAAGATCCAGATCAGTTCGGTCTGGACTCGGATGCAAAGGGGGACCCGATCCACAACGCTATAAAGCACATGGCACATCGCAAATCAGCACGGTGCAGCACAGCACAGCCCTCGGCACGGTACATCAAGATCGATACATTCAGCATTGCAACCTGGCACGTTCCCTGGCACGTTCCGTGGCGCGTCCCGTGGCGAGTCCCCCTGGCACGTCGCGCGGCGCGTCCCCTGGCACGTCCCGTTGCACGTCCATTGGCACGTTCCGTAGCGCGTCCTCTTGACACGTCCCGCGGTGCGTCCCCATGGCGTCTCCCCTGGCATGTCGCTTGGCGCGTCCCTTGGGACGTTCCGCGGCGCGTCCTCCTGGCATGTCCCCCTTTCGATTCGTTCTGGGGCAGCTACTATGTGCTCAGATAGCTCGAGCTTGAGATCCAGATCAGTTCGGTCAGGACTCGGATACAAAGGAGGACTAGATCCACAACGCTATAGAGCACAATCGCAGTATGGCACATCGCAATTCAGCACGGAGCAGCACAGCACAGCCCTCGGCACGGTACATCAAGATCGATACACTCAGCAATGCGTGTGCCCGTCGACTATATCAGGTGACTTTGAAACGTGGCCATGCCTTACAGTTCTATATTCCTTTCCAGGTTCGTGGGTCGATCATGTTTCACGATGCCGCAAATTGTCCGCAACGCCGGACCTCAGGGTCCCCCAGCAGGAGGCAGTTTCCTTTGGATTCTGGCAAGCTGACTTGCATGGAGGGAGTTGGGGGGGTGGGCGTGGCGAGACCCGAAAGGATATCTGGACTCCGCACAGGTTGGGATTGACCTGCGCGCCTTCTCGGCCCAGCGCGGTTTGAGAAGGCGGCGGGGGGGAGGGGAAACACGCTATGCAAGTAAACTTGCTTGAGTCTACAGGGATCGGCTACACACAAGAGTGACCTTAGGCAAGAGTGACCTTTGGTGCGCGGCTTCTGGGGGGACCGCCAGGGGGCCAAATCCGTGCGCGCAAGCCGCTGCTATCGTATCGCACTCGGCGAAATTCGGAGATCGGGGGACCCCAGTGGGTAAGCACCAACGGTCACCACGGCGAAGGGTCACTCTAACATTCGACAATCTTCATAGCATGTGTTAGCGCCAACGAGTGCTGGTCCACCGAAGCCCCTGAATGCGACGCAGATGGCTCATCGAAGGCCGACACAGGCCGAACGGGAGAAACACATATTGGGCTAACGCACGCCTGGAGGATCATCCAACGTGTCCCCGAAGACAGGCAGCCTCCAGGCCAGCCGCGTCGTGCGTGTCCAGCCTCCCTGCGACGGCGCGGGCCCCCGCCGCGCGGAGGCCCGCCCGCGATCGTCGAGCGCGCGAGCTCTCCCCGGGTCTCGGGGAGGCGCAGGCAGCGCGAGCGGGGAGGCAAAACGCGCCCCCGCCGGCGCACCGCCAGGGCGGCTCCCAGTCAGTTGGCGGCGGTCCCGGGGGGCAGCGGCGCCTGCTGTTGGAGGCGGCCAGGGGGGTCTGAATGGGTTGGGGCCCCGGAAATTTGGTCAAGAGCAGGGGATGCGGCCCTTTCCGCTCAAAATCTGTTCACGGACCCCTCCTGGGGTCCATCTGGTGTTATGTTTCACCCTTGGTCCGTTTCTGACGGTCCTGGGACCCGAAAACAGCCCCTGGAGGCTTATTCATTTGGATTGTCTCATCCCCCAAAAAAAAACTGTCCGAACCCAGCACCGCGAACCTGCCCGCCCTTCGTGCTGGCCAGAACCAATGCTGGGCCACCTCAGATCCCCCTCCAAGCCTGCTGCATCTGGAGCAGGGTGTCTATTTTGCTCTTCAGGTCGGCGACCTCCTTGTTGAGCTCCTGCATGCTGTTCTCCAAGTCCTTTGCGTACTTGGGCCTCGGGTCCCCGCGCTTGGCGGCGGGCTCGGCCTCTGCGCCCCCGGGGCTCGCAGCCTCGCCCGCGTCGTCCGCGGGCGGCGGATCCGACGAGCTCATCCCGTCGAGGAGGACCGCCACCACGACGTTCAGGATGACGAACGAGTTGATCAGGATGAACGAGACGAAGAACACGGACACCCCGAACGTGGACATGTCGCCCCTGTTGTCCTCGGCATTCCTGGGGAGGAACCGAAAGAACGGCGCGGACACAAACTGTCGGAGGTCCGCGCCGATCTTCTGGATCTACGCTGGACCCCCCCCTCCCTGGCGCGCGGAGCGCGCTGGGGGCGGCGCCGGAGGCGCCGCCAGGGGACCCAGCGCCGACCCAATGGATTCGCGCGGATCTCCCAAAGTGTATGCCCATGCCGCTTTGTCTTCTTCGAGTTCCGGGTGGCGGAGTTCTTGACCTGGAAGTAGTGGAGGATGGGGCGAACGCCGGCCTTCAGCCATTTTTTTCTTCACGGCCCCGCCACCCCCCGCCCCCTCCCCGCCCGGATCACGTCACGACTCTCGCAGGCGCCGTCTGGGAATGAGCCGTTCTTGGGCATTCCGAGACGGAACCAGCACCAATCGGGACGTGACCGGCCCCCTCCACAATTACTCAATATGAAAATACTCTCCCTCTTCCCCTGATGGCGGTTGGGTGATCGCCGACCCCCCCCCCGCGTACTGTTTTTTTACACACAGGATTCCCGGGAAACGGGTTTTCGCCTGCGTTTTTTCCAAAATGCTGCTCTCGCTGAGGCGTCGGCCTCATTTCTGCTCCCGAATCGTTCCGAATCGTGCTCCCGCTGCAGCGTGGGCCTCATTTTCGGATCGGTGTTTGGCCTCCGTCGTTCAGGATGGCGTTCTCGCCCCAGCGCGGGCCTCTTTCTCGCGCGCCCATCCGCCCGCCACCACTGCGCCGCACCACCACCACCACCACCACCACCACCACCACCACCACCACCACCACCACCACCACCACCACCACCACCACCACCACCACCACCACCACCACCAACCACCACCACCACCACCACCACCACCACCACCACCACCACCACCACCACCACCACCACCACCACCACCACCACCACCACCACAACCACAACACAACCACAACCACGCACACACGCACGCACGCACGCACGCGCACCACCACCCACTACGCACGCGCGCGCGGAGCCACAGGTCCGCTACGACACGCGTCCGCGGATAGAGAAAATCAGCGCCATGGTAAGGGATGGGAGGGAGGGGTAGGACGTCAGATATAACGCGAGCGCACCTAGCTTGCCCCCTCCCCCTCTCCGCCCTCCTGGGTCACGCCCGTTATCGCTGGGGAATAGAAAAAAAGATCTCCTCCGACCACGACTCGCCCGTGAGGATCTGGAAGAGGGTGTACAGCGCCGCGGTGAAGCACCCGTAGTACTCCGCCCCGTAGCATTCCTGGCGGCCCGTCAGCGCTCCAGGGGGCGGGTTCGGCAGTGCGCAGGCCTCCTGGTACAGACCTGGGGCGAGAATGATGCCATGATTTGAGAGGCTCCGGATACGGTCCAGGATTTCCAGAAAGTATGTTGCGGCCCTCCTTCCTTTCTGCAGCCCATGTGAAGCATGAGGAAGTCTTGAAATACTGGAAGTCCTGGAACGTATCATTATGATCATCTCTTGCTCCTCTGGAGACCTCCGAAGGCGTCCACGGCGAGGACGGAATAGATGGACATCACGATCAGCAGCAGGATGAAGGCGTTGATCACTCCTGGCACCGCCTTCCAAATCGTATCTAAGATTTTCCTCAAAGACTCGACCCGGCCGAACAGGCGGAACACCCTAAAAGCGCGGAAAAGGCGAAGCGTCTTCAGCTGGGGCGGGTATGAGAAGTCGAACATCAGCGACAGGAGGTCTATGACACCGATCGATACGACGAACAAATCGAAAAGGTTCCAGCCCTGCGAGAGGAATGGCCACATCCAGCTCCCGTACATATTGATCAGGAGCTCTATCAGGAAGAGAACGTTGAAAATCGTGTCGATGGTAACCCACGTAGTCTTGTTGGACATGTCGTCTGAGTGGGTATACGCCGGGTCCACCTGAGCAGCAAAGTGAAAGGAGTCGTTTGCGAGAAGGCATGGGCGTCATGGCGACCCTACGCGGCGGATTACGCAGGCCGCTTACGCGGCACACCACGCGGAAGGGATGACGCTTACGCCCGGCCTCACACGGACGGCTCACGTGGGAATGGCCGCGGTTTCAAGATATTGTTTTCACGTCGCCCACCTGCCGTTGTATGACCTGGCAGATGAAGTTCGTAAAAATGAGGAGCGCAACGGATACCTGAACGTAGCTCTGCTTGCGGCCGACATCGTGATAAAAGTCGTACACCGCGACCTGGTACTTCCACACGCCCTGCATCTGCGATCGCTTGGCGGCGTCGGCGATGACCTGCCTCCTGTCGAGCCGCTCCGACGTGGACGAGGCAGGCTCGTCGCCGGGCCCGGCGTCCAGCGTCTTGTCGTCGTCCTGGGCGGCGTGCACGGCGGCTACGTTTCCAACGCCCGCGGACATCATCGCGGCACCTCCAGGGAGCTCGTGGCGCGCACTGCGCCGCTCACCCCCCCGAACGAAAATCGCAAGGAGGCCGCTCGAGCCCCAAGCAGCGGTCGGGCCGAGTCGCTGCGGCGAGACCCCCAGGACCTCCAGCGCGATTGAGCAGATCCAGGCGCAGGCGCTTCACCAGTCCCATCCCCTGGGGGCCTGCCTCGGGCCCCGGGACCGTCAAAATAGATCCGGGGGCGAGACAAGTCGGCCCCCGGGCCCAGGGAAGTTCCCCAGAGCGCGGGGGACCCTGCGCACTGAACACATGGCGGACTCAAAAACCCTGGACAAAAAAAACGTTGCCACATCTAGAGAGTCCGATGTTTACTTCCGCTGGCTTCTGCCGGCCTTCCACCTTCTTCCAGCGGAGGCGGCCTCGTTCTACTTCCGCTGCTTTCAGCTGGCCTTCCGATGCCTTCCGCAGAGGAAGTGCGCGCACCCCCTTCGATTCTCGAAGACGAGGCCCTTTCTTGATTGCCTCACTTGACGACGTCGAAGGTGTTGGTTTGATAAAACTCCGAAAGGGTGTTCAAACAGCTGGCGCAACAGCTGCCGGGGGCCCCGCAGGCTCAATTGGGGGTCATGGGCCCGCACCACCCCTGGTTGTTGATTCATGCCTGGTGTATTCGAGCCTCTCACCTCAAGGTGGCTCCAAGAGAGCCACAGAGGCCCCAGAGGCGCCCCCAAGCAAGAGGTCTCCACGAGGCTCCCAAGAAGCCCCTGTGGGGCCCTCAAGAAGCCCCGAAGAAGCCCCCCTGATGCCTCCAAGAGCCCTCCAAGAGGCCCAACCTGAGGGGTCGGCGATATGGCGCAAGCCACTTGAAGAAGAGAGGTGAGCTCCACCAACCTGCGCGCCTGCTTGAAAGGTGTGCGTCAAGACCTCGTTGAGACTCAGCACGCCCAGGCGATCAATTGTGAAGGCCGGCCCGCGGTCTCTGACACCCGCGTCGCCTCTGGGCGACCTGGATTCAGTCCTGCCGCTGCGCGTGAACCGGGGGACCGTCCTTCCCAATACCAGGGTATGCATTTTCCCCACTGGGGGGCCCCAACTGCCCACTTGCATCGCTCCCAGCCAGGCCCGCGCTGGGTCCACCACTGATGGGTCCGTCCTCTTGGCCTGGTCTGGAAGGCAGCTGCGCCAATTCCGTTTTGTGCACGCAAAACAGCTGACCACCTTGTCGGCGAGCGTTGCATATAACCGCAGCGGAGCTGCGACACAGCGTGAGACAAAGGATAGCATGATGGCCGCCGAGTAGCAGAACCCTCGAGCCCATGCGTGGTTACACATGGGCAACCAGGGAAAAATGAAGAGTCAGGGCAAAGAAATGAAACGAGTCCCGTAAGGCAAAGCGTGATGCCCAAACCGTGCAAGAGAAGGAGAACCAGGAAGAGGAGCGTCCAAGGAGGGGAGGGAAAACGCGGCGAAGCAAACGCACCACGTGTATGCACCCCCGCTGTGCATGTACCCCCAACCTAGATTGTCCTGGGCCAAAAAGCCAGCTGTGCACGTAGGCAGCTACGCCAATTCTAGGTCCAAGATTGGCCTGGCCAGGCTCAACATGGGTGGATACTTGGCGGCCCCCTCTCTCTCCCTCACTCTCTCTCTCTCTCGCTCTCTCTCTCTCTCTATATATATAGAAAAACCCTCTCTCTCTATATATATATATAATCCTCCTTCCTCTCTCTCTCTCTGTCTCTCTTTCTCTCTCTCTCTCTGCGTAACCTGAGGACCCCTCTCTTAGTTTGTCTCTCTCTCTCTCGCTGTCCCTCTCCCTCTTCCTCTCCCTCTCCCTCTCCCCTTTCTCTCTCTCTCTCTCTCTCTCTTGTCTTGTTTTTTTGTTTCTCTCTCTCTCTCTCACTCTCCCTCTTCCTCTCCCTCTCCGTCTCCCCGTTTCTCTGTTTGTTTTTCTCTCTCTCTCTCTCTCTCGCGCTTTCTGTCTCTCTTTCTCTCTCCCATCCCGCCGTAGCCATTTTGGCTCAAACGATCCCTCGCCCTGGACGCGCTCCCCGCGGGCGCCGTGTCGAAGCCTAGAGGGGCTCGTGCCGCGATCGATGTTGGCTGCCTCGTGGAGGCGGCAGTTCGCGAGGCGGTGCAGGCGAACGCGCCTCGGACGGTGGCGGCGGTGGCTCGCTCGGAGCTGTCGGCGGCGCTCTTCGGGAAGGCTGGCCCGCCCGCTGCTGCGGCTGACGACGGCGTGGACGATGTGACGAAGAACGACGCGAAGCGCGCCCGCCGCCAGCGGCGGCGTGCGCGGCTCGCGGCGCGGCGGCGGGAGGCTCGCGGCCCTGCGGCTGCTGCACTGCTCGCTGCGTCCCTATAGTTGTAGATATGCATTTCTCGGTACACACGTGTATATATATATATATATATATATACATGTATATACATTTATGTATATATGTATGCACTAGAACCTTCGCCCGAGCTTCGCGCGCGTTCAGGTTCTAGCTAGGCTTGGTGGGCTGACACATGGAATATCATGGTTGTCGGTTCTTGCATCCAGGGACTCTTGGAGGTCCTGCGCAAGCCTCGGAATCGTATAGAAGGGGAGCTGCGGAAACGCAGGACATATGATTCCCCGTTAGGTATTCAACGATTTGGGGCCCTCAAAGGCTTCCTGGGTTCTTTTCTGGGAGCTGAGGGGGCCTTAATTCTAGTCGGTGGTGCAAGGGTAGACAGGGGGGCGAACTTGAAAAAAGTTGCCGTGCCTGGGCTGTGGGTTAGAAGCTTTCTGGATGCAGGACACGGTCTGTTAGGATGCCTATCGGAGTCTTCTTGCAAAAATCAACCGGGGGTGATTAGGAATTTAAGAAATCATGTTTCAACTCATGGGATCCTGGGATTTCGATTTCTACGGCGGTTTCAGGGGCAGCCAGGAGGAGACGAAGACGATCCAAGAGAGTGCCAAGACAGCGTCAGAGAGTTCAACAACATACCCGAAACATCTTTGCATGTGACCCCGAAGCCTTGATGGGGCTCGAGGAAGAGGATAGGGAGGAGTCCCGACTGGAAAAAAGGGAATCTCTGGAATTCATTTGTTTTTGAGTTCCTCAATCTTTGAGCGTTGGAATCGGGAAAACGTGAGAAGGCGAAAAACTTAGAACAGCCATTGGAAATCCACTATTTGACCCTCTTCGGGCTCTCTCGGGACGGCTCTCGAAGCTCTCTTGAGCTGTTTTGGAGGCCTTGTCGGGGCTTTTGGGGGGCCTCTCAGGGGCCTGGGGTGTGTTGAGGGCCTCTGGAGGGTTCTGGAGTCCTCTCGGAGATCTCTGGAGGCCTCCTGCTCCCGCTCTTGGGCTCATCTTGGGCCTGTTCTGGGGTGGTCTGGAGATGTCCTGGGCGCCTCTTCGGCAGTCTTGGGGCTTTCTTGGCCCGTCTTGGGAGCCTCTTGGGCGGTCTTGGGACGGTCTTGGGGGCCTCTTCGGCCGTGTCGGAGCGCTGCAAGCATGAAATGGTGAGAAGGCCAAAACCTTCGGAGACAAAATAAAGAAAATTAGCGAGTTTAGGTTATCTGGGCGCTCTAGGGGGGCCTCTCGGAGCTCTCTTGAGGTCTCTTGCAGGCCTCCTGGGAGTCTAGAGAGCCGCCCGAAAGCTCTTGGGTTATTTGGGAGCGTCTTGGGCCGTTCTTTTACTTTCTGGGGGCTTCTTAGAGTCGTCTTGGGCTGTCCGTGGGCGTTTTCGGGGGCTCCCCGGGAGGCCGGGAAGCGCAGTGCCGGGAACGTTTCCGTAATCCAGATGCCATCGAGGTGAAGGACGCCCCCGGAGGAGGCCTGGCTTAATTGTTATATATGTATATGTGTGCATATGTATATATATGTGTATATATATATATATATATATATATATATATATTAATGTGTATAAATATATATATAATTAGATCTATACACATATACCTATATACATATACATACATATATGTGTGTGTGTGTCCGTGAGCATCCCTGACTCCCTACATTTCTCTCTCCCTCTCTCTCTCTCTTGTGCGCGCGTTCAGGCTTGGCTCAGGGCTGGTCCCCACGGACCACCAAGCGGGCGGGCGGGACATCACGTGAGAGCTGAGCTTCTTTCGCTGGCGGGGCAACATTGGGGAGAAGACGCGTATTGAACCAAAGAAACGACGACGACGAGGACGACGATACCAACGACGCCGACGACGACGATGACGACGGGCGGGGAATCAAAGCAGGCGGGCGGGCGAGTCATGCAATGGACATCTCGCCTGTTGCGGAGACGCCCCCTCCTCCTCCTCCTCCTCCTCCTTTTCCTCCTCCTCCTCCTCCTCCTCATCATCATCATCGTCATCACCACCACCATCATCATCAACAACATAATCATCATCCTCATCATCATCATCCTCATCATCATCAGCAGCAACACCACATGATCGTCATCCTCATCACCCTCGTTGTCATCCTCATCCTCCTGGCCCCCACGTGATCCTGCATATCCTGTGAGGTGATGGAAGAATGGCGCCCATTGGCGGGGTATGAGCGCGCGTCAGCGTCGACATCGTCGTTTGCCGGCGAGCCTACGAAGAGGGGGTCAAACCCCTGCCTGAGACGAAGCCACAACCGGTACAAAATCGGACCGGGGCAAATCTGAGATCTCTGAGATCACGTGGTTCTGGAAGATGTATCAGACGCTGCGGCCGTTCCAGAGCACTCTGGAACGCTCTGAGAGCATTCTGGAACGCTCTGGAACGAGTTATGCTGGTTCTAGCCCAATCCGACTTTAGGGGTGGGTGGGTGCACCCTAGACTTTAGGGGGGGCAGGTTTCGAGGCCCTTCCCTGAAGCGCCTACAGAAGACGTCATTTCCTACTCTGGGCCTTGGGAGAAGGACCCATCGGGCTCGTGTGTCGCACGTCTTCCTGCAGCTGGTCGGATTCAAACGGGTTCGTCGGGAGTCCTATGGCTTCTCATGCAATGGGCCTGTGCGTCACCCGTTTTCCAGTGGCTGCTTGTATTCCT